CAAACGATGCATGGCCAATTTCGTCTTACTCTTGTCGTCTTCCATGACTCTGTTACAAAAACTTCCACGGGCGCTTGATATCTTGAAGAGTTCTTTGGCATCATGTGGATATTATTCTTATGTTTTTGTTAGCTTCCGCTTTCCGTTTCTCAAGTACCCTGCAAATCATGTGCTTAAATCAATTATGGCCAAAATCCTCTCCTTTCCGCTAAATTTTTAGATGTTCTATTCTAAACTGTAGAAACGAATACTGTTTCAAACATATTCCTACTACTAAGAATCATTTCATTTAAAGTCCTTTCAACATGCCTCTTCTTTCATCACCCTCTTTGCGCGTTTTCATTCTTCATCCTAAGCGTTTAGGTCACGATACATAGTTTCATACCTTTTCAGAAGCAGATGTATCTGGGGTCATGGGTCATTCTGTGATATGTCACTCCTTTCAATTATTTGATGTCCCTTGGATTTTTTTGATAGTTATGATTGAATACAACTACATTTTTTTCTGCTAGTTATATTTATAAAATTCAGATGCAAATTCGTTCCATCAAACTTCCAAGTGGATTGATGATGTTCGCACTGAAAGAGGAAGCGATGTGATCATCATGCTCGTCGGAAACAAAACAGACCTTGGAGACAAAAGGTAGAGCATTCTAGGCGTTCTCTTCTACAACTGAATTTGTCTTTTTGAAATGCAAGCGATTAAATTCATTTTATTTGCCAAAAAGAAAAAATTCATTCTTCTATAACAGTAGAATTCAACGCGCACATCCTCGTAGGCTCGCACGAGAAAACTTTATTGAGAAGTAAAACTCTAAAAGCGTTTCGCTACATCTAAATTTCAACTTTTATTTAACATTTAACATTTTTATAATCCAGAGTTGAATGATATTCAGCAAACTTAGGCTTCACGTATATGATCGTTGCTTCTTCTCTTGAAAATGTGGCTGACACTCAATAATAAATGGATTCACTATTATATTTCTTAAGAAGTTCTCTGTGTTTATATATGATGGGACAAATTTTTTTGGATGGGTACATACATTTATAGAACGTAAATATA